AAAGCAGGTGGTCGTTGATAAATCACTGTTGCAGCTCTTATCAAGATTCTAGCAGTTAAACCCCATATAACATAATCATCATCTCCTGTTTTGTAATCAAAGAAGTGGATCAAATGTGTTTCCCCCAACCACTCAATCTCCTCGCATCTCCGGTTCTCATCCTGTGTAATATATTTTTAAACCATTAATGTTTCAGGTAATAAAAACTGCAACTATAAAGCCTCCTTGATAAAAGAAACAAGAGGAACCTTGAGAAACATTTCAAAGGGTGCATCAAACACGGCTTCCACTTCTGTAGGATTTGGCGTTGGATTGAATGCATCTTTGTCCCATAATATTCCTACCACAGGAGTTACTCTGAGCAGATGCTGCATTGGAAAAGGAAGCACGGATAAGCATAAATTCTTAAAGAAAGCCTGGTATATGGCAGACAAAAAAATTGGAATAGAGGCTGAATCAACATTCAAACGTTAATTGTATCCCCAGAAAACACAGCTCCCATATCTTAATATGAACATGCATTCTTCTTAAAATGAACAAAGGAGGGCAGTGAGCATTTTTAATACCAGAGACATAAATGGTTCGAGGAAAACAACAACGTCAACAAGGGAAGGGTCTAATCCAATCTCTTCCTCTGCCTCTCTGGTTGCAGTGATCCCATCATCCTTGTCATGCTCTTCTGCTTTACCACCTGGTAAAGAAACTTCTCCTGCAACAGAAAAAAGAAAACACAATCCATCACCCATAGTATCATTATCATTATCCCATATTAGTTCTTGTTCTGTACTCAAGTGACCATTAAGCACTTGGAGGCTTTTCAAACCATTAATCCTGAAGGTTTGAAAAATTAAATACAAATGGCTTCAAAGACAACAATTTAAAATGTTCCCCTCACAACAAAAGAAAACCCCAATCAAAATGATATGATACTCAGCAACCGAAATTCGAAAAGCGGATTACAAACCTGAGTGAGAAGACAGTGAGGAAGACCTCTTAGTGAGGATCACACGCAAATCACCGTCGTCTCCTTCGAAGAGACAGATCAAGACAGCAGCTTTTTCCGGTCTGAGGCTCACCGGAGCCATAGGTTCCTGAAACCCAACGTGGGAGACCAATTTCCTGGTGCTCTCCTGGTATGCACGCATCTCTTCCGCCTCGTCGAACGGCGAACAAAGGGGAGGTTTGTATACACGCAGCTGCTCCGCCAAGGCTAAGAGTCTGGAAGATCCAAGTTTAAAGCTTGTGGCCGCTGACGACGAGGCTGATGCTGCCGACTTCATGATATTGCTGAGAATTCCAGCTGTCCCGGAAGCCAATGGAACTTTTGGCAGTGAGACTAAGTTCAAAATTGAAACTTTTTACCCTAAATTTAGATTTTAGGTTATACGCACTATTCGGTTAGACGGTAGCATAATGGTTGTAGAAATTTCGTACCACCATTTCTCACCGAATATTTTCTAATACTAGGATAGAATTAAAGGTGATTGGAAAGAAACAAATTCAAGACTTAGCCTAGGCATGTCAATCTGAATAATCCAATCCTGGCCGAAGCTTCCAAATCAGCAAGTCCATTCCTTTTCTTATAGCCTTTATATTTGAAAGATTGGCCTCATTATGAACAGAAGCTTGTTTTGGGATTTTGTATACATCCATATAAATTTTGGCTTGGGACTACTATGAGAGACAAACAAATGCATGTATTAAACAAACAAGAACAACCATTGTAGTCTACATAACAAATACATGTATTTACATCACACCAGAGACAGAACATAGACCAAATAAATATACCCTCAATCTTCAAGTGTACGTGTATACTCTTTAGACGCAGACAAAGTTAACTTCGCTTCACGCACCGGGAAACGACAATCTCCGTGGTTTCACTGCGTTTCTAGCTCCTGAGGATGGAGCTTTGGCTGGAACTGATGATAATGACATTACTCTCTTTGCTGGTGAATTTGAGTTTGTCTCACTTTTGCATAATGTCTTTAAGCTCTTTGGTTTCTTAGGTGTCACTGAATATCTTACTTCCCAAGGCCGAGCAGAAATCCAACGCTCTTTCCAGCTCCAACCCCAATTAGTGTTGCCTAGCTCATAACTCCCCAGCCATTGAGTCTTACCATCGGCTTTCCACTGTTTTAAGGCCATGGATTAAAAACTTTTCTTCTCACATTCAAAGCAGCAAACAAGAAAGAAACTGTCTTTATATACCTGATGAGAGAAGGCATATGCCAAAGCCCTTTCCCGCTTGATGGTCGCTTCTTCCCTTTGAAGTATCCTCTCCAAGATTTCATCTTTTGTCTCTGACCCACCATTCCATTCAACCTGCATTGGGATCACTTTAATGTTCATTTGTTTACAGATGATCAAGCCTGAGCTTTAAACAGCTCAAAAATAACATTTTTGGCACTTTCACAAAATCTTACCTCAACATCATGAAGTTTTGCCTCAAGCTTCTGTTGATGCTCTAATCTCTTATTCTTCAGTCGCCATTCGGTAACCATGCAAACTCGGCGAGCCTTTATCTCTGACTGTATTTTACTCCATGAGTGAAGATACCTTAAGGTGACCACCGCTTGGTTCTTGACAGAGTGCTTCTCAGTTGATAACTTTGCTCTTGCAATTCCCTTTAGACGCCGCAAGATTTTTCTAGCCTGTGCAAAGAAAAGACCACAACACAAGATCCATAAGATTTCCAATGTCAATATAAAAATCATGCCAAATAAATTTGAAAACTAGTAACTCAATGGACCTTATAAGCTTTAAAAGCAGTCTGAATCCGAGTTGCAGCCCAATCCTCGGTACGAGTAAGTGATGAAGAAAGAGTACCCTTCTTCTTGGAAGCTTTAGGTTTAACAAATCCCTGTAACAGAGAACATCTTTATAAAACACAATTTAGTATTTGTTTTCATGCCATTGTGTAAAAGAAAAAAAAACATACCTTATCGTTCTTGATGCTCCTTTGTTTACCCCTCTTCAATCTAATTATAGCCTTAATCAAATTCCCAGAACCCATCTCAGAGTCTGTCCAATTTGTCACCAAAACAGCTTGTATGTATGCAAATGCTGCTCTAAACCTGAGATGGAAGAGAAATTAATTATGGTTAACAAAACATCTAATAGTGAAGGATCAACTACTTCAACTAAACTCTTGACTACCACTACTGGATTGGGTTCTTATACTCAACTACTCATACACAACCAAAATCAACTAATCAAGTACACCCAAATAGAAAAGTAACTTGATAACAAACCTTTAAATCCTTATGTGAAAAAACCAATGCTCTGAAAATGAAAAAAGGTTCAAACTTTACTAAACCCAACACTAGAGATGAGCAAGAGACGACATTAGACTGAACAAGATAGTAACCCCATAAATTTATCGGCAAATCAAAACCACAAATTGTATATTTTCCAGATCCAATCTACAACCATTGAAAAAAAAGAGAAGTTCCAGTTTTAACTAAAGATAGAGACAAAAAACCTGAGCTCGGGACCACAGGTGCTTGACTGTGAATGAACTGGAAACTGGCTTTGGCGACGACACGAACAGATGAACGCAAACGCAGAAGAAGACTAAAGCAGAGAGACAAGAAAACAGAACGGAGATTTGGTGACTGAATGATTTGAAGGGTTTTTGCTCTGTAGTAAGGAAGAAGTAAAGGAGGACTATAAAAGAGACATCATTACAGCGTCGTGTGTGACTGACTCGTGGGAAAGACTGCAAATATTAGGCTGTAATCACATTTTCTTAATTTTTATTTGTATAATCAGTAATTGTTTAATCAAATTGTCACAGTGTTTTACACCAACAGTTCACTGTAACACAAAAAAAAAAAAAAAACATAATTAAGATTTGTCAGATTCTGACTCTTTTTATTTTTATCACGTTCGTTCTACCGTCTGTGTAAAGGTACGAAGTATGTAGTATTTACTTTGCTTACAAGATGTCATAATTATAAAACACCCATCAGAATTTTCGTGACTTGTATATACTCCTCTAAATCTAGAAGTTGAAAAGTAGTTTGAGCAACAAAACAAAACAAATGTTGAAAAGTAGTGAAATAGGAGTAATAATTACGAGATATAAAACTTAAACTACTTTCGTTTAATGGTATTTTTTTCTTCCTTTAAATGATCTGAATACGATTCATTAAATATCAACTATGACAGCTTAACCATATCTGAGTATGTTTTATAAAGTTTTGATTTGAGGCCACCACCGGCACTGATTGATTGCTAATGGTGTTTTAAGAATTATAATTGTTTTGATGACTATCTTATGGATTACTAAATGAGTTTGGACGTATTAATTAACCTTTGTTTAAACTGAAAATATTTTACCAATCACTCTCTTAGATTCTTACCGTTCAACTGATATTGTTGAATTAGCGGTCAAAAATATCAAACCAAATTTCAAATGTTTCGACGTGTTTATCTTTTATGTGTCAATGAGATGTCATTAACGTATTCGACATAGCAACAAACTAACAATGATACTGTGTGTAGTTTTTTTATGTAGTAGCTATATAACTAGTTTTAATAAATATTTGAAAAAAACACCATACACACAAATCCAAATGAAATAATTAACATTTTATTTAAAATTGTAAAAAAATACTTGGATATGAAATAATTTTGGCTTTTTTCATAAGAAATATTATTTCGACTTGAGTTTGTTGAGGCATTTGGATATTAGTGAATTATATATATGTTATCAAATGGTTTCTTGAAGTGGTTGGTCGATAATGATGAGCCAAAAAAAAAAAAGCAATGGCTTAGCAGAATCATTTGACTTCAGCCGAGGGCCTGAGGGGTCCGAAGTTTCCAAAATCGATATTGCACCTACCATACACTCATATTTTGATCCATCTACCACAGACAGGAAACAAAATCAATGAATCTTTTAATAGGAAATTATTAATTGTCCCAATAAGATATTAAGCTAAAATTTATGATGATTCAGCAGCTGAGCCACCACCACCACTGTGGTTTGTACCTAATTCTAGTGAATGAAACTTATCAGACAGTAAATGGGAAGATGTCGAAAAGTTGTTGACACTAGGATACATGGTTTGAGCTTAGGTCTCATTGTAGAACTATATTTATATTAAAAAAAAAATTATTGATGTTATATGAATTGTAATCTCTGGAAAACAGTTTATATCAAAACAAAAGTATTATGAAACTAAAGAATAGTATATATTGTTGTATTCAGATTTTAACCAAATTCTTTACGGCCACTTATGTAATTTAGTGTAGGCAACACTTAATATTATGTGTAACTTAGTTTAAGCAATACTTAGTTTAAGCAATTCGTATGTCAATAAATACTTTTTCAATTTTACACCACTCGGTCAAGATCTAGGGATGTTGTGGTCCAACGTCGACTCCATGTGTGAAGGTGCCTTCAGACGAGCATAAACTTTTTTCTAACGAGTGGTTTTGAATTTTGATAGTCTCAAAAAATAATAGTCTACCTATTTTTTAAACAAACCCTTCTAACAACAATAGGACTACATATGTGATCAGGATTTGGACCAAGGATTCTTTGGATGTTTTAGAGTACATATAGGGTCCCTACAATAGTTTGCAGCTATTATTGATTTTGTTTAATCTTTGTCTTATTATTATTATTTTTTTTTTTTTTGTGATAAACAATCTTTATGTCTTTTCAGACATATAGACAGTTAATTCGATCGACCATGACCCCGTTCGTTCGTATCCTCTTATCCATTAAGCATTTTTTTCTTCAACCTCTATGTTTGATTATTTGCTTTAATATACAAAAACAATTCACAGAACCCCACAAGCAGCAAACTAAACTAATAAACTAATCCCATTTGTGGTGTACCGATTCAAAATCAACCCTATTCTTTAATCCAACTGATATTTTGATAATGTTCTCCAAGTTCATTAGTGGTGAACGTATTTCAACTCTTAATCCAAATATATTCAAAATGAATGTCAACTCTCAATGATCTATTTATAATAAAAACTGTAAATAGAACTCTTGAGAACCATTTTGGTGTGTGTTTTATTATAGATAGATCAAAAGAGAGATGGGTTTCAACGATCCTTCACTAAACACAATTATCCTTTGGTTTGCAGCCGTAACGTCTCTTGTGACTATCTCTGTAATCTTCGCTCTTCTCGTTCTTTGTTTGCTCAAACGCCGTAGGTTTGATGTATCACCGGAAGAAGAGAACGAGTACCATGGGAGAAGTGAGCCACCGTGCCAAGGGCTTAGCGCTTCCGTGATTGCCGCCTTTCCCACCTTTTCTTACAAACCGGATAATAATAACGATCTTGAGAGTAACAATCAGGAGATCGAGTGTCCGGTTTGCTTAGGATTGATCCCCAAGAACGTTGTGATTAAGGTTTTGCCTAATTGTATGCACATGTTTGATGAGGAATGTATCGGTAAGTGGCTTGAGTCACACGCAACTTGTCCTGTGTGTCGTACACTGGCTCAACCGATGGCTAGCTCTGGAGATAAGGTCTTAGAAAAAGTATAGTATAGTTGATGGTTATATATGCCAACTTTACATAATTTTTGTGTTTTTGCTAATTGTAATATTATTTCAGATTGATGTGAAATGTACAAATGATATAACTCAACATGCGGCTTTGGGTCGTCATACACACATAGTCCCATACTACTTCAATTTGAGATGCTCGATCAAATGAGAAAGTCAAATTTTATGGTTTATTGTCCACTATCTTATACATATACATATAATAGTCCCACTTTCTTAGAGGGAAGAGTACTATAACACATTCGTTCTCTTCTCAAACTCATACGTTGTCACTTTCGAGTTTTAAGCAATCAAATTTGTTATTAATTAGACAGTGGTTGGTCTTTTACTCATATGCTTAACTATACATCATCATCTTACATCTATACTATAAGTGGAAAAGTGCGAAGTTGGTCACCGTATACTTACTTTACAAGTTTACATATAGTCAAATCTTCAGAAACGTTAACCTATACAAAGATATGTGACTGTTGATCCTAGTTGGCTTAAAATTAAGCCTACGTATTGGCAGGAATATATTGTTATCTCTTTGGTCTTTAAAATCAAGAGAAAAGCTTATATATACTCCTTATGAATCAGAAGGTCTCAAGTAGAGAAGAGTTAATGAAGTCCTTGGTGCTTTAAATTGAACTTAAAAGGACCAGTAGGAAGCTTATGTACGAGGCAGTGTCTCCAAAACACTAGGTTTAAGTCTATACTTTAATAAAAGAACGAGAGATAGGGAATTCACATGTCATTTGGAAAACAGGGAATATAAATGTAAAACTATTATGGGCTGACGTAATACGTATATATGGTTTATAACTTTATATCAAGTTCTTTAACTTTAGAATTGTGTATATACTTGGTAATGCGTTAATTGTGTATACTCTTCATGCAGATCCGTTGAGTGAAAAGGTTGACAAAGAAAAGCCCATTAACAAAAAGCATAGATTTCGTAACACCATTTTTTGGGTTGAATTTCGTAAAAACATTTTTAGGGTTAAAATTCAATTAAACCACTACTCAACGGATCTTACGTACTGTCGAATATTACGGTAGATCTTCCAACGTGGGAAAGAACACCTAAATTATAGACGATTTGTTATTTTTATAACTCAATTTACTTATATATTTATTTACATTGGGATTCATAATGGATAATTAACATCAATCATTTTTGTAGCACAGCGGTCGAACGCTGTCGTTGACCACATAGGGAGATATCAGTGTAATGTTCTCTAGCCATGATCGAAATGAGTCACAAAATCAATGTCAATACTATTTTATAAAAGTATAGATTTCTGAAAATATCGAACACGTGATTTACGTTGGATCGTAGCCTCGTAGGGTATGGGCCATTTACAAAGTAGGAGGTCAATAATTTGATGCAGATGACGCAAAGATATGCATGATCATGCATCATCATTGTGGTGTTTGCATATTCAAAAACAACCTAAAAACAGGAAATTAACACACACGCAATATGATAGGTAAAGATCAAAGACAGTCCAAGAACTAACAATGCAATGCAACACTTAACAAAAGACAAAAACTATACATGATATTGCATAAAAGGTTGTATTGAAAAACATGGATCATCATCACACACACTCTCTTTGCCTAAACATTCGAACAGAAATAAAGAGTAAAAGACAAGAAACCTATTGACTAATACTCCTACTACTACTACTTACTTCACAAGTGGGTTTTTATTTATATCGTGGACAGCTTTTGTTTATGGGACCATATATATAATCTTCAATTTGATCCAAAATTTCCGATTAATCATTAATATTCTCTGATCCTCGCCAGCTTCTTCAATTAGAAAACAAACTTTCTACTTATAACAATTTTCATATAGGCCCTTACTCTTATTATAATTTAACTAATCAAACACATGATTCACTTTTCCTATAAGAAATAAAGAGATCAATATGCGAATCCTCAATAACTATGAGGGTTAATTATCAAATAACTATGCACATAATAATGTTTACAAAACTTTAGTATTAAAGTAGTATTTTCTAGGTGGAGGAAGGAGAGAATCACAATATTTTTTCCAGAGAGAAAATCACGGAAACCGATGTAGATTCTCTAACTCATATCTCCTCCAGCCTCCAGGTAGTTCATATACTTTATACACTCTATAAAATAAAAGAGTCAGAAAAATCTAAAGAAAGCTAAAAACATGGAGATTTTCTTGGTTTTTCTTTAAATTTCCCACGACTTTTCTCACTGCGCAAGAAGAGCCTATTTCTTCTCTCAAGATCTTTATTTGTTTTCCTTCAAATCATCTCTCTCTCTCTCATTCTGAAAAAAAAAAAAAAACAATGTGTAGCAACAACAACAACAACACAAGTAGTGGAAGCTATGGAGAGTTACATGATGAGTACCATGGTTCTTGTCGGAAGAAACAGAAGAAGAACAAAGTACGACGAAGAGGACCTGGTGTAGCCGAACTAGAGAAGATCCGTCTTCAAGAAGAGCACAAATCTCCTCTTTCTTCTTCATTACAAAACATGGATCATCATCGGACTCTCTTTGCTCCGTCTTCCTATGATTTAGCGATGATTCCTCCAAACTTTGCTTTGCCGGAGAAACTGCCGTCGTTCCCGGCTTTTCCGTTCTCGTACGGATCTTGTATTCCTCCGGCGCCGGTTTTTCAGAGGAACCAACAACATTCTCTAACGGTAAGAAGAGTTTGATTCTTATGATTAATCTCTATCGCTAATTATGTCACAAATACTTCTTCTTTTTCTGTTAAAGATGTTACAAAATATCACAAATGAAATTTATAACATTTTATTACTATATTTCATATGATTTTTGCAGATGAATATTCCGAATCCATCTCTAGGAGGAGAAGGAGGAATTTATCAATTCATAGAGCCCCCTTCAAACCAAAGATCTTGCGTCGATTCTGTCTCTCAGTTTCTTGAGGAAGAAAATAAAACGGCATGTTTTTATTATCTTTTTCCATAAATTTTAAATAAATAAAAAATGTAACGTTTTCTAATGTTTTTGATTTGTTTCTTTGATGATATTTTTCCATAGATGGTCAGTGCGAAGAAGAGGCCATGGCATTTTCTTACTGACACCACGGAGCCTAGAGTTGGACCAACCAAAACAACTATTTTGAGGTTTTTTGTTGTTTTTTTTTTTTTGGCTTCGGCTCATTTTCTTGATATATACTACCAAAAATCTAATATTGAATGTGCATGTCTTAAGGGAGCCGATACGAAACCGGTCGCTGGGTCTACGTCCGGTTCAAGATTCTGGTACAACAATTAGCAACCCCATCGCCATTGATTCACCTACCTCCTCCATTCCAAGCTTTCCTCGTCATTACCCGAGGTTTATCCCACTTGGCTTACAGCTACAGGTAACTAAACTAGAGAGATCTTCCTATTATAATTTTTGCTATATATTGTATATCATAGTTTGATGAAGTTTCTTAGACCGGTACATCAAATTATTTTGGTTATAGTATGAACAACAACAAAAGGAGTTTGATGAGAATATGCAATGGAGAAGTAAGGAGCCGTTCTATAGCTTCATACCCTCTGAAGATCGGAGCAATGCTGACCAAGAACGACAACCCTGTGACCGGTATGAATCAGCCGTTGATCATGGAATCGATCTCAGCCTTAAGCTATAGTGATTTTAGAAACAACTTTAGTCTTATAATTATGTAGCTTTTGATATATCAGTTAACTTCTCCTTAACTCTATTAGTTTGTCATTCATGGACCAACCAAGACTTGTTGCTAGAAGGTTTGTTTGTAAGACTGAAAAGTCTTAGTAAAATCTCTCACCTGAGTTCCTAATAACAACTACTAGTGTTGCTAACAATAATAGTATAAAGAGATATAAGCTCTGAGAATATGATTATTGCCAAAAACGAAGCAGTTCACTTACCCATACATAAACAGAACAAAACCAATTGTTTCTTGAATTTTTTTTTTTTTTGAAATAGGTGTTTCTTGAAATATTGGTTTAGTTGTCTATGCAAGTGGATATGAACTTCAGATATGAGCTCAGACATCACCATGATCCAAGATTTAATTATGGTTTAGGAAAAAACAGGATTCTAAGCCTAATCATGGTTCATATAATGTGAAAAACAGAGTTTAACCAAAGGAACATGGCCTTTATTAAGCTCTCATCCACAATATGAAAATGGAAAAGCACTTTTGGAATTGATAAGACTTGTAAGTCTGATAATAGCTAAAAGGTGAAAGCTTAGCTTTGACCCCTAAGATGAAAATGAATATAGATAAGGACAAGAGAGAAGATATACATAGCAAAGGCCAATACACAGATCCAGAACGGATAAGTCGATCTCACATAAGCCGGTAAACCAATTGCCATGCCTATTACCACAACAAGAAGAGCTTCTATTGAGTAGTCCCATTTCAATCCTTTTGAGTATACAATCGCCAATGTTATCGACATTCCCATCAGATTGTTCATTGTAACATCCCTGTAGATCTGCAGAACCCCCACAGTCAAAAAGCTCTTAAAGATTGAGTTCTACATCAATGTAATGTAATAAAGAAAGTGTAGTAGGAAGTACACTAACCTCAGAGAACTTTTCAGATGCGATTCTTGCTTTGTCTTTCTTTCGACAGAAGTGTGCTGATAGAGTGTTCTTTAAGTTTCTAACCAAAGGGATCACTGCAAACACCGTGTAGAAAGAAGGAACTCCAGCTGAAACCGATAAGAGTCCAATGTTTACCATAAACGGTTTTGCAAGAAAGACTACAATTAGCATCCCTCCGACGACTTTAATCACAGCTCTTAAGGTTCTCATGGAGAGGAATTTAGCAACAAGAGTTTTCTTTGGCATTTCCAGTTTTAAAACTGCAGCTTCCTCGCCCTGCGACAAGTTCTTGACATGCAGAGAATCGGAGGCTGATCTGTAAATGTATGTATTGTTCTGTCTTGGAGTTTCTTGGTTATCAAATTTGTATTGATTCAGTAGCTTCATTATCCCTTCTTCGAATTCGTTCTCGTCTAATTCGCCATTTTTGTCTTTGTCGAACTCTGCAAGCAAAGTGCTTGCAAACTCATTAATGTCACATTTCATCTTTCCAAAAACTCCAAACTCGACTGTTAAGTCTTTGAGCTCTGAGATTTGAATCTTTCCATCTTTGTTCCTATCGATTTTATCGAACAAACTACAAAAAAAAAGTAGTAAACTTGCAATGTAAGAAAGCAGAAAACAGAGCAAACTGCAATAGTTCTTGACGAAGATAAAACAGAATAGAACCTTTTCAAGCTTTCTTTACTTAGCTGTCCATCTCTAATAAGTGTTTGAGGCGAAAAGCTCTGCAAATGCTTATGAACTTCCGACATGAGCTCAAACTTGGCATGATCTAAGCTCTTCCTTTGGTCTGCCGTATCAAAATACTGTGAGATTCCACAAAACAAATTCACTTGTAAGAAAACAAAGCAAATCAGTTGTAAGCATTTAGCATTTAAGTCTTGTTTCAGAGAGCTCATACCGAGTAAACAAAGTAAATAATGGTTGAAGAACATGAGATTATGAGTGTGATCAGCATAATGATGTCACTCCAAGGTTGAGCATCAAGTAAATCAGGCAATGTCACCAAGAAAAATGGAATTAGAGTCAGAAGCATAACCCCTGCAGCTTTCTTGTTCTTAGGATCCGCATCTACGCTTGTTTCTGCAGATAGCGAGAAACCGAAAAATGAAACAGGCTTCACACAAGAAGAGAATAAATCTACAAGTCTTGTTAACATACCAACAACACTTTTCAGTATCTTCGTCCTGTAAAACCCCCTTCTTGGATTTTTTGTATCCTATATATCAAAAGATCATATTTATTAAAATAAGAACTTGTTATTAAAATCTTATAATACTAAACAGATTAGGACAAATGAATCTTTTCTTACTGAGGTTGTTCTCTTGATGGATGTTCCTCTTCTGATTGACGGATCTGGATTAGGACTGGTCAAACCAAAGACAACACAAGCTCCCCATTGCATTGTCAGAGCAAATATTGTGTGTCCAAAAGTCACTCCAACGTTGTTCCCCACAATCATGAGAGCACCTTCGTGGGTCGCTGCTAGTCCTGGTGCTAAATATCAAATATCAAAAAGTACGGTAAGATTGTCAAATTTTATAGCAAATGAAGTAATCTTTAAGATGATATTATAACATAAAAGTTTTCAACTCATTTATTAGTGGAAAGGATCCTTACATATCATAAGGGCAATTCTTGGGAACATTGTAAGGAGAGGGAAAACGATACCACCATAGAACCCGACCTCAAAGATTACAAAAAGTTTTGATCTTCCTTCAGACAAGAAATAGTCACCAATGATCAAGAGACAACCAAAGGAGAAAACTTGGAAGACATAGCCTCCAATATTGTCTGCACATGGAAGGAACCCATAGACATGAGTGCAAGCTGCCTTGGCGACGTTCTTTTGAGGATCGAGAGTGAGAAACTTGTCATCCGAGGCGTCATGGACTCCATCAGAGATCAATATGGGGTTATTTAGAGGGACTGGACTTAAGACACGAGAGCTCACACCAGAGACGATCAGAGCTAAAGAGAAAATGAAAAAAAAGAAAGCTAATGGGGAATGTAGGTGGATAGGTCTCCTCTTGAATGTGAATGTTTGCATGTGAGCTATTCAGAGTGTTGTTAAGTGACTGAGCTTAATGAGAGACGAGAAGAAAAGAGTCCCAATTTCAGAAATGGCAACTGTTCTTACAAAAATTTGTTGCTTATATAATCGAGATCTACAAAACCATTTTAATATTTTATACTGACGGACTCACCCAATATGGGATACTTAATAATCATTATTTACTTGTTATTTAATAATAAAATGTTTGTTTATTGTGAAAATATAAAAAAGCAAAAAACAAAAAAAAAATTCTTTGTTAAAATTAAGAAGTACTTCAAAAATATTTGTTGTGACTTTCCAAAGTCAATTGTACAATTTGACAAAAATAAAATTAAGAACAACGTGCAAATCGCATTTCTTTTTTGTTGCTAAGAATGCAAATCACATTTCTCCATGCACAAATGGGCACGATCACGTGAGTTTGCGTATTTTTCCATCACCAAATTCTATTTTAAAAGTTTATAAAGACAGGTTTTATGTGTTTTACATAATTAACTAAGCTATGGTCTATAACATTACATTTTGTCATTATGACCAAATGAATTTGGTAGATCCAATCGTGTTCAATAATTATCAAAGTTTTACAAATTAAGAAGCAAATGTATTTTCTTGGAATATTAAAATTTTTGGATAAATGTGGATATGTATAGAATTTGGCCGAACATCCAGATTTTAAAAGTTACCTCAACAACAAATGACCAGTTTGATTACAAAACAGACATATATATAAAAAATGAGTACTAGGCACATATACCATAAAAAAAAGTTTATAATATCTTCTCCTCATTCACTCGAAAACATCCAAAGAGCTTTGTATTTATAATCCTTTTATCTCTTCTTGACTTCTTATCGATCCATTTATCCTGATCACAATACATTCATAAAATTACATCAAATATGGGTAGTTCCAACATTAGGTTAAATCAAAGTTGTGGAACTTCTGACACTATTGATATGTTATTTTAATACAGATACGTTTTACGTGGACATGAACAGGTGTTATACAGTTGTCCTCTGCTCTACATTTTTATTAAATGTGTTGGGAGACACAATGTGACTTTATTTTATCGAAACTTTGAAACTCGGAGCAGAACTAATTTGACCCCATCAGACCAAAAGTTTTAAATACTACTCTCTTATGCACTTCGCTCAAGTTGTATGTAATATTATTGGACTGATGTAAGCGTAGAATGCAAGTTGTTATATTATTACATTAGAAAAAACAAGAAATAATATTATCAAGATACTAAGATATTGCTGCCGGATCACGTCAAAAGATAATAAAGATAGTGCTGCCGGATCAACTTACGCAGTAGTATGATATATTAATGTTTGCAGGGTACGGTCATTTGTTGGACCAATAAGATTGAATCTTCAGAGTGAAATTTGCCAAATCCACATGATCTCAAAGCAAGCAATGCTACACTCTTTTTTTCTTTTCGAAATCAACGAATAACATATGATAAGTTTCTTATAATTAGTAGTTCTTAAATCCACAAAGACATGAGAATTTTCGACACACTTTCTAAAAAGTATAAAAAGACTGAAAATGTGTCCATGTTAAAGAAAATATATTCATTTGGAAGAATTTTCGTTTGAAGGAAACGAAGTTGTTTTCATAGGTTTTATTGGAGAGAAGAATTATCAGCAACAATGACTACCGACGACATTACTATTTAAAATGTTACTACATCACCCTCAGTCTTACCTAATGTTAGTTCTTGTCTAGAAAATGAAAATGAAAATGGAGTTAGATAAGAAGTAGATAGCAAAGGCCAATACACACATCCAGAACGGGTAAGTCGATCCCACATAGACCGGTAAGCCTATTACTAGGCCAATGATCACCTATAAAGAGCTTCTACTGAGTAATTCCATGTCAATCTATTCCCTAGTGTAAATTGCCAATATGATTGAAATACTTTGGTAAGCCATTTTGGACAAGAAACAGTGTGCTTACCGAAGGAAAAGACTTGGAACATAATAATTAAGGTCATCATTAAAATGCTCGAATTTTGTTTTGACTTGATGAAATGAATAACAGAGATTCTAATTCAAATTTCTCCATCCATAGTAAACAGAGAAGAAAAAAACACACAAAGTCTATTCTGATATGAGAAGTCTCCAAACTCTACCATGTACCGAAACCAAAACTTGTCCTGACAAAGACATACAAATAAAAGAAAACAGAAACACAGTTATGGAATCCTCTCACGGAAGCTTCTAATTACCAGCGACCTCTTCCTTGTCCTCTTCCTCTACCACCTCCGCGTCTTCCCCCCCAATTTCGGTTTCCCCCTCTACCAGCACCATATGATGATATTCCCTCAAAGGCCTTGTTCACAAGCTGGCTTTGCATAGCACCTGAACCACGTCCCTTCTTTGCTGAAACATTGTTACCACTTCCATTGCTGCTATTAGCAGGCCGCTTTGCTCTGTAAATAATTATTGCAGGTAAAACAAATTACAAACAGATACAAGACAACTGAAAGTTTGGATTGAGTAAAAGTGACAACAAACCCGATTGTTGCTGTTGTTGAGGCTAACGGCTTTGTTGCTTCTTTCCAAGAAAGGTTGAGATTAGTGTCTCCGATAAAAGGAGGCACTTTTGCATGCAATGGCTGTTTCATATCATCATATTTCGCCAGGTTTGATTATATCATCAAAATTATATACTTCTACCAAAACAAAAGAAAAAAGAAGGGGAAAGACAAGATGTTGTGATGTTCACCTTTGTCATTGCCAATATGTTATTACAGGTCCTAAGTCCAGTTGTAGTATTCAGCTTCTTTGTTTTCTGAAATAATAAAAACCACAAAGGTGTATTAGTCCTGAAAGTAAATAGCACTGGGAAAAAAGAAGGGTGTTACAGGTCTATGTACTTACAATGCTTGCCTTCTCTTCATCTGTCTTAGCAGCTGACATGGCTTTGTTGTGCTCAGTCATTCCCTGAGTTAATTTCTTCATTGTTGCCTTGGTTAGATCTTCAACAACGGTCAATCTGCACAAATGGTTGGCAAATCACAGAAACATAAATATTTTATTAAATCATAAGAAAATACCAAGAACTCTTCTACCTCTTCTTACTCTGGATTATCAAAATTTGTGTACTCTAAACAACAACGGTATACTGAAGTTTTAACGTGCAAAATTTGGATGCCATATCAAATTAATAACAATACCTCTCAGTGAAGTCTTTATTCAACTCTGAGAAGTCCTCCCCCAATCTGTCTGATGGCTGGCCAGTCACAATCTTGTACCCGCACAAGCTGTTTGTAGCATTTGGAACCTATATATGTTCAACATTATCAGCTGAGTAAAACAAGGAAGAGCAAAAACGGAAAGGGATGAATCACAAATAAGATATATTTGGTAACCTTGTGGGCAAGGTGATGAAAGGCATACAACAAACACTCCACGTATGTGAAGTTCATTTCCTCTCCAGTCTTTCTGGCAGGCATATATATCTAAAAGCAAAGAGTTTGAAAAACTTTAGAAGATCGCAAGTAAAGCTTTTACATTCAAAAGTGCAAGGCTGCAGTAAGATATACAATATAAGCAAGACTGACCACAAACCAATTCTGAAAGGAATCATTACACACTGGCACTTAAAAGAGGTACCTTCAAAAGCTGAACGATTGAAGGAAGCAGCTGCCTTGCTTCCTGAGCAGTTGTGTATGGAGAAATATCAGCAAGAGCTTTGAGCAAATCAAGTTTCCTCTCTTCTGGTAGCTAGTTAAGAAACAATAATTTGGAGTTAGTATGGTGGCCAAGAATGCTCCTCTTTTGGGGAGATACGGATATTTACATGCAAGAACGCAAAAGAGTAACAAGCAGAAAATACCTAGAAGTATGGATTAAATAAACCTTACAGGAAACTAGCATTTTACTTCATACCATTAGTGTCAGAATTTATTCTTAAGAGCATATAACAGATGCCCCAAAGAGCACACAGGTATCATGTGCTGATATAAACACAAGTATGGAATAACAAAGCAATGAAATCCAAGATACCTTGTCAAAAACAGGCATAATATGTATGTTCAAATAGTTCAGAAACTTGCTGCTTGGAGCACCTCTCTGTTCAAAAGAGAAAAAAGTTAGTAAGATAACCAGTCAAGTTTATAGAATGGGCTCTGCCAGGTAGTAGCAGCACTTATTCCAAGTTCGTACCGCGAAAAAGGGAAGGGCCAGTTGCAGGCATGATATCAACCTGTCAATATGGTCTGTATCTGAAACCTGGGAAAAACGATATTTATAATCAGGAATAATACCACAATACAAGGATAATCTCATCTAAATTTGGCGGAAACCTTATACTTCGAACTATTTATACTCACCATATGGCATACTGGAAAATCTAAGCTGGAGTGTTTTCATGGTAAATTGACCAGACACAATCAAGTTTGTATAACTCACTATGATCATACTATCAGATTAAAAATTTTGTGCATTTCCTTGCACTCAACCTAGGACCAGCGAATATGCTGGAGTTCAAGGAACAATAACAACACTCTAGAGAAACAATGCAGACGGTGGTACATCTTTTTAAGCTTTTTTTCAGTAGGATGGAGTTTGTACAAGGCTGAACATACACTACTGCCACAGAACATGTCAAACTGAATAATGATATGCAACTAAAAAGAACATAGATACACAGCGGGTTAACTAGTAGTATCAATTCAAGCAATCAAGAAATTTAGGTTCATCTTCGTGATGATACAACACAACCAACTACCGCAATGATGCAACACAACCAACTACCACCAAACTGAACAATGCAATACAACAAACTTACTTCAAATTGCGCATTTAAATCCGCCTGTCCTTCGATAATTTCCACAAGTTCTTGCATTCTTTCTTGAGGAGCTTTGCCACCAAATATACTCAAACTCGTCAGGAAATCCATAAACATTTTAAACTCTCCTCCAGTTACATCTTCTAAGCTCTACGAAATCCAAATAAAGTTGAGAATAAATGACAAAGAAGAAGGCAGATGAAAGAAGCAAAAGGAACTGCATACACACAAGATATTGGTCTTACCTGTTTGATCAAATCTGTTATATGTCTTTCCATCTCCTCTTGAGGCTTTAAAAGTTCCCCTTTAAGAGGAAACACCTACATATAAATTAAAATAAAAAGATATATAATGAATATAGGCATATGGTATTACAAACCTCTCAAAATGATTCTCATTTCTACTAGTAATAGATATCAATACCATTATCACATTTTCATATCACTTCTTCTGTTATTGGTTAAGGAAACTTCTTTCAAATCATAAACAATGTCAAGGAGGAGACTTAACTAAACATGCACTAGATCAGCCATTTTAGTTGATTAAGCAGAGTTTGTACATCTTGAAACTGAACCAAAATATAGTAATACAAAATGCATGTCTACTTTACTGGTCTAAATCTACAAGAGAAAAATCCCAATTGGTCTAACTTAGTAGAAACAATGAGATATGAATATCAAAAACTAAGTCACTTAACGCTGTTCTGGGAACCTTGCAAATAGCAAAAAGCCATTGATAAACTCTGACCTTATCTCTGACGAAATTCAAGACCTTCTCACGAATCTGATCATCAGTTGTTGGAGTAACCCCAGCATGTGTGAATAAGGCAGTGGAAGATGCTGTAACACAAGAAAGTAATAATTAGAAAACACTAGAGAAACTGCAGATTCAATGGTGATATCATGTTGAAATTCTAAGAAACTTTAGCAGACTACAACCCAGAGCAAGTAGTTCATTCATTTAAACCTATGCCTGATCATGATCTACTGTGTACATAATTTAAGCTGAATCAGTATCTTCATACAGAAAAAACTTAAAACTGTAACAGTACCTTTTGGATCTTGTCGAAACAATGACATCAGAGCCTTATGCACAGCATCACGCTCCACAGGTTCCTCTTAAAATCATGATACCTCCCAAGTCAGATGAGAAAGAAACGCAAATATGTATATAGAAGGAGTAGTAACATAAATCTCAAGAGTTACCAGTACTCAAAAGTTGCACAAGAACATCAACAATCTTCGATATAATCTCAGGTGTATCCTTACAGAAAAGCGGGAGTCCGCGGATGGCTTGCACACGTACCTACACACAAAAAGAAACACATGTTTAACTCAAACCAAAGAATAAATTCCACAATGATACAAGACTAAAAATTGTGCATAGAAAAGTCATGATTCTCTGGAAAAGCCAGAAGTACTAAGCATGTGTTGTTTCAGTATAAACTGCATCTGTACGAAGACAAGGTACATACCCCAAGGTCTCCATCATCAATACAGTCCATATGCGCATCGAAAGCCTCAGTAGAGAGACTAGGGAAGAACTTGAAGTAGCGTGGAATTAGCTGCGACGCAAGCTGCTTTGCCTTCATACTAGTCTTGGACATCTTGATAATCCCCTCATAATCCCCAACATTCTACAAACCGAGAAAACAAAATCAAGTAGAGTAATTAAGAAACTGGAAAATTGGAACAACTGCAAACTTAGACCAGCCTAACTCGAATCCATTTACATTTTTCGGACTAACCTAACTCGAATCCGAAGCAAAACATTTTTGCTTAAATACATAATCCGGAGACTAAATAGGGAATGCTCAATTTCAAATTTCAAACCCTAGGTGAAAAATTGAGACGAACCTGAGACTTGTCCTTGGAGGCATTGAGGCGCTCACTGAACTCATAGAGCTTCTCGATCTGCTGAACTTCTTCGGACTGGTTCTCTGACATTACGGAGGAAGCTGAAGAGCGAGAAAAACTGAAGCAGATGAGTATAATATAAACACATAGTTGAAAAAGCTATACATAATCACGTCTCTGTAACATATGATAGGGAAAAGGCGGGAGAAAGATGAAGAAGAAGGTTACGAGCGTACATGTTGGGTTTGGAAGAAGACTGTAGAAAGATTTTGAGTTTTTCTCCGAGTGTTTTGAGATTTTGAGTTTTTTCTTAGCTTCCTTAGCTTGAAGAAGAAGAGCGAAGCGAGCTTAATTAACAAGCCTCGTTGTTGGGCCAAAATATTTAAAACGGTGTCGTTTCATATTTGTAAAACTTGAGGAACGACACTCAAATTTATTGATCTTTCAAATTCACCCCGGAATTAGTTTGAAGATATAATCCACCTGAAGTAGAACATCTATCAGTCTATCACTTATACGATTTGAAAAACGAATTTTGATGCCTATTTTACTCACAATTGTTTATTCAAGAACAAAATCTCTCAAATCTGGTATTTGGCACAAGAGAAGTATCCAACCCAAACTCATTTGGTTATGGACAAAAAGTCTTATTACCTTACAAAAGCAATTCTCTAATACAAGGAGTGTCTCAAGAACACAAAAAAAGAAAAAGTTTGTTTCTCCCGATTTAGCAAAATCACAGAACAGGCATATCCAGAGCTTGTAGCACATCTTTGAACTCAAAATCATGAGTATGCTTATTGAACCGCTCGAGCAGCTTGTACCGAGAGTCATTCAAGTAAAACGACTGAGCTGTCTCCATGATCCATTTCGCCTCTTCGTCAGTGAGTTTGCTTGTGAACACAACATCTCCTCGGATAAACACCAAGTCCTTTGTCTCTGAAAGCTCGGTGTAGAAGGTGGTAGTCAGATAAGGAGCCGCTTGAGTTCCTCTTGCTTTGTAGTCTTCGAGACCAGTGAAAATCATATGAGGCGCTTCAACTGCCACAATAAAACTGACCATTTATATAAGATCATAAACCAAAGAGCTCTTCGTTTTCCTACAAACTTAACTCGCTCACATAATGGTACATCTAACAAAATTCAGCCTCACATACGAGAAAGTAAAAAAATTGTCCTTGAGATCAAAATGGTCCTGAATGTTCATAGCTAATCTGACTACTTCAATCGAACTGTATTATAAAAGCTACCACAAACCTTGAGCAAACTAAATCATGTAAGCATTTCATATAAATTTCTCACCAGGGCATGAAAGATATCAAATGGAGGACTAAATGGTACATCTAGCCTCACATAACAGTTCTTGAGATCAGTGGCTTGCTAATTTCTAAAAGCTAATCTCACTAACTTGATCGACTCCCTGGTAAAAGCTATCACAAAACTAGAGTAAAAATTTTGTTCAAAATAACAAAAAAAAAAAAAAAAAACTAGAGTAAAAATTATGTAACCAAATTTCCAAGAAATAAAAGATAGATCATGGAGGATTAGAGTTTAAACCTTGAGCAAACATAGTAATGTAACCATTTCCTCTCCACAATGGAATCACAAAGTATCGGCTGCAATTGCAATATCATCAATTAGAAGAAGATCAAAATGTATACAAGAGCAAGGCTAATGATATTGTTAATACCATTCGGATGCTCGTTGCTCCAACAATCTATAAAGCTGAGCTTTCATCGTTATCCCAATATGACCTCGTCCCAAGTGATACTAACAAAAACGAAAATGAAGTAAGATCCAACGAAATGCAATTGAAAGACGCAAACACACATCAAAAAAAAGAAGGAATTTTTAGAGTGTTTGAAATTACATCGTCCCAGATGGAAGTGAGTTCTTCCGGAGATTTAGTTTTGGCTCTGGCCAAATCCATGATTGAATCCAAAGGTTTCGGCTGCAACGGAGTAAACCCAGATGCGAATCTCGAATTCCTAACTGAACCAAGCGAAGCCCATTTTAGATGGTTTCCAGGTAGAGCTTCTGAGAGCTTGCTTCCAGCATCTCGTTGCCAAGAAGATGAACGCGCCGTGAAAATTTGTCTATACGAAGAAGAAGATGAAGAGAGTTTATCTTTAGCCAGACTCGAAATAGAACCAACGATATTTCTCAATTTCATGGTCGGAATACGGTGAATTCAAAGAAATGATGAAGATTAGCAAAGTTTCTCAGGGATTCTCACAGGAATACTGTCGAACACGTTGTATGCTAATAGATCTAATCCTCCACAACAACAAAAATTTAGGAACATTAGTTTAGAACCCTAACGGTTCGTAACTCCGTGGGGTTTAACTTGGTTCGATCGGTCGGACCGGATTTAAGAAATTTCGCTTCTTTTTTGAACCAAATTTTTAATCAATTAATAAAGCAAATTGTTTTTACTTACAAGTTAAAACAAAAAATTCGCGGAAACTCATTATCTTATCAAAGTAAACTATAAAAACAAGTACGATTTTGCAGGATTTTAGATCTAATAATATAAAAGCTTCAATAAGAAAAACAAAAAATGATCCGATCACAATGTTGTTTTTTTAGTCAAAGCAGACTCTTTGCCACAATGTTTTCTCGTTAGCCCGTGAGTATTTGGAATCTTTTCTCTTAGCATGGTCAAATGTAATATGTATCATCTATCAATCTCTCGTCTCTCAATCCTAATTCTAAACTAAGACGAAGACTAAAATTAGATTCATTGAGGCCTTTTAACCAAAAAAATATATAATAATAAGATCAGCTGATTCTGTTTGGTGTTAACTTAGTTTAAAGACTTTCTCAACCAAGAAACCCCTAGCTAATCCCTCAAACGAAAAATATAAATGAATAGAATCCCCAAATTATCGTTACATTGATCCAGACAGTTTATTACTGTATAATAGATCAAACGATCGTCTTGAATGCAAACATCGCTACAAACACTAAATCTTGACAGTCATGAGTTATATTAATTATACTAACACATAAAACAAAACAAAAACGTACGATATAGATCAGAGGTAATCACGGGACAACAACACCTACCAATATTAAATATTTTACAGAATTATATTTATTCCATCCATTTAACAAATTACATGATCGCATTATAAATCCTTTTTTTTTTAAATGGTGTAACACTCACTGCAACACATTATCACGCATTCAACTAAAAAAGATCGAGAAGGTTATTTTCTTTTTGTCGGTAAAGATCTATAAAGTAGTAAAATCAGCCATGATTGCTTCCACAAATTTTAAGTGAATAACACAGAAAATAAAAATAAAATGAGATCTTATAACACATGTTTCACAAATTTTCCCAACGCACTAAGGGCAAAATATATATCTCTTTCTCCTCCCACACACAAAACATATCTGTGTGTTTTATAATATAAATCAACTTGTTTGTCACTTATATGAGATTTGACTTAGGTTGTTTCTTTTGTCACTAATGTAAAACAGTACAAAAAACTGTAAACTATTTATTAGTTTGTCCAGACTCACGCAGAGAGTATCTCACAACCCCACCATGCATGTCCTATCTCTTTTTTTATCCGCAATATTCTTTTTTCTCTTCCTCACATCAACCATTTCTAAGCCAACAACCTCTCAGTCTCGGCCTCCTCCGGCACTGCGACGCCTCCACCACAGAGACCTCTCCGTCGATTACTACTCCAAGAAATGTCCTCAGCTCGAAAATCTCGTCGGTTCCATCACTTCTCAGCGTTTCAAAGAAGTTCCCATCTCAGCTCCAGCCACCATTCGCCTCTTCTTCCACGACTGCTTCGTTGAGGTCCAATTTTTTATAACCGAAACTGAAATCTTGCATTCTTCTTCTTAGGTACGATCGATAGATGAACTTACATTTTTTAGCATTACTAAGTTGTACAATTAAAACAAGCACCATCTCAGTAGTCATTATACCGCAGTAATAATTGGAAAGTTAAAACCACCAATCTGGAACATAATCCCGACAAATGTTTCACGGGTTCGGTTTCCAACGTAGCGCATTTTAGCAAACAACAGTCAAGTCTCGGTGTATTTTAGCAAACAAACTCAACAGTGTTTTGGTCTTCATACTACATGTGCTGTTTGTTTAACATAATGACAATAGACATCTCATGCATGCAAACTGGTTATTTATTATCCACTGATGATCAACATAAGTTGAAATTGATTTTTTTGAAGGGGTGTGATGGGTCGATATTGATAGAAACAAAGAAAGGAAGCAAGAAATTAGCAGAAAGAGACGCGTATGAGAATAAAGAATTAAGAGAAGAAGGATTTGAGAGTATCATCAAGGCCAAGGCATTGGTTGAGTCTCATTGCCCTTCTCTCGTCTCTTGTTCTGATATTCTCGCTATTGCCGCTCGAGACTTCATCCACCTGGTATAAATCCCAACTTTACTCCTACTAACCGGGTTTTCATAATTGTAAATTTGTAACCATATTTGTCCACTGTCCAAATCGGTCTTGGTCTCATGGATAGTTTAAGCTAAATCAAAACTGATTTTTTAGACATAATTAAGTGTAATAAACCAAAGCGTATTGTATCCACAGTCCATTATGGTTTGGTGAATGTACTGTATAATAGATTAGATGTGTCATTGACTAATGTTTTGTTTTGGTTCCAAATAGGCAGGTGGACCTTACTATCAAGTGAAAAAAGGAAGATGGGACGGAAAAAGATCAACGGCCACGAACGTTTCTCCAAACATACCTCGATCAAACTCAACCGTCGATCAACTCATCAAGCTCTTCGCGTCCAAAGGACTCACCGTAGAGGAACTTGTCGTCCTTTCCGGGTCTCACACCATCGGCTTCGCCCATTGTAAAAATTTCGTTGGTCGTCTCTACAACTTCAAAGGCACAAAACTACCCGACCCGACTCTCGACCCGAGATTGCTCAAGGAGCTCCGTATGTCGTGCCCTTTTTCCGGCGGTAGCTCCGGCGTCATCCTCCCGCTCGACGCTACAACTCCGTTTGTGTTTGACAATGGATATTTCACAGGACTAGGAAGTAAGATGGGCCTTCTCGAGTCGGACCAAGCCATTTTCCTTGACCCGAGGACGAAGCCCATTGCACTTGAGATGGCTAAAGATAAGCAGAGGTTTCTCAAGGCGTTTGGAGAAGCTATGGATAAAATGGGTTCCATTGGTGTAAAGAAAGGGAAGAAACATGGGGAAATACGAACAGATTGTCGAGTCTTTTTATAGATTTTAAATTTTACTTTATTGTTTTGTGTGAAGGTTTTTGTCTTGATCTTGATGTGTTTTGTCTTGTGTATTTTCTTAATTGTTTTGTTCATAGAATAAGGTATTTTTGGTGAAACATCACTGAACTTATCGGGTGTTACGTTATTCACTTATTTGTGAAAAAAAATATGATTTAGATTATTACTACATTTGTGTTTTAACATGAGAAGGTTCATAATCACTTTCAAGATGTTTAACGAAACCATTTATAAGTCAGAGTTTGAGTTTATGATAGTCTATCAAATGCTTCTATCTAGTTTATCCAAACCATTTACAACAGAATCAACATAAATCTGTTAATTTATATTTTCAAATCAAATAAACAAGCAATGGTATAAATGTTTGACTCTTATATAACTTTTTTTTTTTGTTGCAAATTTGCAATCACAATAGAAGACGATTAGATTATAATTTCAAAGCCCCTCAAAAGAAAAGAATATAAAAACACTTTACAACTTTATCGTCATATCCTGTTTGTAATCTTCACATATAGGTCTCTCCAAGTAAAATGTCAGTGGTTTCTTTCTCTTTTGTCTTGACTTCCAAGAATGTAATATACATGCAAGTGTGTATCGAGTCAAGTTCTTCACATCGAAAGAGCCGCATAGAGAAGTTGGTTCCAAGTATCCGGCAAGCCAGGAAGGCACCAGTGACTACAATCCGTTCCTCCATCGCCTCCATATGTAGATGGATGAGCATCTTTTCTCAGTTGAGACAGAGTTGTGATGTCGAGTAAGTAAACGGGAGTTCTCATCGAGCTCAACACTTGAGACACAATGCTTGCTGCAGGAAGTGAACCACCTGGATATGTTGATCCGGTCAACGGTTGCATCTGCCCGTTGCAAGTCTTCCTTGGCTCGTTCCATTCCCTTCCCCTGTTAATCAAAGAAATAATCTACTTTTAAACCCGCATTTTTCAATTTCGTATATGTATTTTATCATATTCGTGTGATGAACTTACATGTAGTGAGTGGGAGAAATGCCTTGGAAGAAAACTCTGGTTTGTGAAATATTAACATTTTGATCAACCCATTGACCCCAAGTGGTGAGTCCTTTGTTAAAAGCATCAAGACGGTCCATGTCTCTCGTCAGTGAAGATCCATCTTTTATAAAATCCCACCTGTAAAAACAGAACCAATAGAATAATAAAAGACAAAGGTAAAGTAAGCATGTCTTAATCCCAATTTAGACTACATGTTTTAAACATGGTGCATGATAGCATTAATTGTAAGAATATGGTACGGACCCCTGGGACTGTACTCCTTTGTGAGTCCACCAGTGCCAAGAATTGAAGACGAGGATGTCCATGTTTTTCCAAGCATCAGCACCATCTTCGATGGCTCCAAGGTTAAGCACACGTCCTATACTTTCTTTGGAGATGTCCACTAGGTACGGTGTTCGGTATAGGTATATTGTCACGTCATATTCCTGTTATTAGTATCCAAATAAAAAGGTTTGAGAAAATTCCTTAGTCTTTTAATATATAGTACAAAAAATTACTAGAAAACAAATTTTAGAAGATTTTGAACAACACGTAGTTTATTTTTTCACATATTTTCTGGTTTAGACGACACAAATTCAGTGATTTCGTCAGTAAAACCCAAATTACAGAGTTAACTCTTTAAAGAAAGTAACAAATTCATGGGTCGAGCCTGGTTATCTAGATAACATGTTCTGTACTATCTATCTAGTATCTCTATAGAGTGTCGCGTGTAGATGATGCCAAAAAAAAAACAAAGAATACAGAAAACAAGTTGGAATTGTTTAGTGGTTGTCATGAGCTGTCAGGTCTCTCCTACTTCTTTTTCCTGCTATGTTCTCATTTTCTGATTGTTTCTTTCCTATGTAACAATATTGATTCATTTTATTTATTAAGGAAGAAATAAACAATATTCAGAAGAGAGAAATTGCCAAAACCACAAGTCAAAGTTTGAAACAAAGGCACAAGATATACGGTGGAGAGAAAAAATGTATATTGGAGGTCACATATTTTCCATATCGGCTGATATTGACACTTTGGTTTCATGGTTTGATTGATATACTTTGTTTTTCCTCCAAGGGTTTAATATTCTATTATATTGAAATTGAAGATATGTTTTTTTCTCAAAGTAACTTTTTCTAAAGATGATTGATAATAAAGTGATTGATAAGCTCAGCAGTTTTAGTAGGAAAAAGAGAGTTGTCAAATTAACAACAATGTATTAAAAAAACTATTGCCAAAAAAAGTATAAGGTTTGATATTATTTGTATAGGATCAGGCAGACAAAATCATAATAACTTGGATGTCAAGCATTTTCACAAAAACAACTTTTACATTAAAAAAATCGAAAGCAAAATTCGACAAGGCATCCTTTTAGAATAGCCCGTGACCAACTCGAATACACAAAATGACAAGTCGTCCTCGTGATGATGAATTATTAGATTTTGTTGTTATCTAAAGACGCATGTTAAAATTTATAATAAGAAAGAAAGAGACACAGACCTGGAAAGTGAGAGACGAGAGTGGGGTACGCTTGAGAAAAGTGGTCTTGGTGTTTGGAACCGACGAATATATCATACACCCCAGCGATTCCCACATGTTTAGACTCAGTGAGTCTCCCACGAACATCACTCGCTTCCCTCTCCATCTCTTTAGAAACGCTGCCCCATCAAACCTTAATTTTATACACATTTAGGATCATCATCATCATGTCAAAAAAATGTACGTATATATGTTAGATGTTTCATGTTACATACCTTGGGACGGTGCATGAATCAGGCAGCCAAGAGTACTTGAGGAACTGTTTGTCCGGTCGACCAAATTTGAGACAGTCGAACTCGCCGTCTATGAAAGGACACGTGGAAGAATCGTAGAAAGGGTAAGAAGGATCGAAAACCCATTTCCCTTGGAACAAGTTACAACCACTCGTCTGTTTCCTCCCTTTCAACACTTCTTTGCCTCCTCCTCGTCCTACCGCGGCGGCCAGCGCTGTTCTGTTGCGTTGGCTCACATTTGGTTTCTTGTTTGAAGCCATGGCCTGGTTGGCTTCGGACAAGATTGTGAGTATGAGAAGCGAAAGAATAAGGCAAAGAGAGATGAGTTTGAAACCCATCTTGCAAAAGAAAAAAATGTGTGTGTGTGTGTGTGTGTTTTTTTTTAATTGGCTTTGTAATGGATTCGAGATTATATATACATACGTGTATACTTATACGTGTATGTATATACATATATATAAAGTAATGTGAAGAGATTCTTGAGTAATGATACTCTTGGCCTTATATGAATTCAGTTTATTACAAAAATCTATATATAATGATATAATTTATTACTCTTATTTTACCAAAAAAAAAATTATTAACTCTTTCCCATTTTATATAGTAAAAATTTAATTTTTATTTATATTTAAATTAAATCATCATTTAATAGCTATTGTAACACAATTCAACAAATAAGAAAACAATTTGCATGATATAAATTGTTAAAATCAAGAAAATTCTCTATTAGTTTTGTACAGATTTGTTAGAAATCATCTTTTTTTTTATTGTGAGAAAATTATTTATTTTTTAAAAAATATCTATATAAAACGAAAGGAATAGTATCAATTAATTAAGGAAATATACGAATATTTAGGATGTCCATCCGTTTAATTAGCTACTCTTGGGTTCACTTATGTTACTAGTAAAGCCAATTTTATGGTCGGTAAATCAGTTGTCTCTGCTAGAACATGTCAACAATTATTTTTTCTTACCATATTCAGTCCATATGATGATTATGATTTATATCCTATATATAGTTGTTTCTTTTTGCATGGTTCATATAACATTGATTGGTTTGTGTGGTTTTGTATTTATGGTACTATAAGATCGGGCTATTTGTGCGTTGACATTGGCCACAAGACGGTAGTATATATTTTGGTTTACCCTTGGCCCTTGTAATTATTTCCATTGTTTAGGAAATGTCGAAATTTTATTTTCAAGATCCATAGAAAATGTTTTAAATCGTCAATTATTCAATATGCTAACGAAATGCTCCGCCAAACTGATTTTGGTCAAAACTGAGGGGGTTATCCAGAGCTCAGTGCTAAAACAGTTTGTGAAATATTTATGCCATGACTGGAATTGACCATGAACAAAATAAGTGTCTAACGTAAGAATCAAGATGTGATTTCAACTTGAAAAGTTCGAAAGTGTAACGTGTAACGGTGTGAGGAATCAGATTTCCCAGTTTACTTGTGGTCTTTTCTGCTTGTGATGGTTTTGTGAAATGAAAAAATGGCAAATATTTATAAGTTTAAATAAGTAAACAATTAAACAACAAAGAATTATATAACAAAAATAGTAATTTAAAAACAATTCCGAGAAAAGTATTCAAAAATACATGATTTCTTATATTTAAAATACTGAAAACAAAATGGACCATCTTGGGAATATGCAGCTTATGTGACCTGTAACGTCAACAATCGAGCTGTTTAATCGCCTAACAAAATGATAGAGATCAGGATAAAGAAGGAAAATAAGAGCTTATATTTGGGGATATAGTAGCATATGTGATTATTGCCACACTTTGATGTCACATTAATTCTGGTAATAACTACTGAAAGCAAAAAAAAAAGTATTCTTCAAGTCATCCACATATCATTTTAGGTGTGTTTTCGTGGGGCTCTCGTGGATGAATCAATGGCGTTAGTGGGACATTCTATTGCTATACTTGTCACAAGGGACATCTTAAATCATTTCCAATCAATTTTCACATGCTTCTACGCCATTAATTTGTTCATTTCTATCTTTTAAATCAAGTGTGTGCATTATTTTGAAAAGAATAAATATGTTCATAACATATGGTCACGGACAGCACTATAGACAGGTAACCTTGGCTATGTAAGTCAATTGATTGTGTTTTGTTGATTAGTGACTTAATGTTTTATAATAGTGAGGGATTTAGGAATATCTTCACAGGGAGTGTATACTCACATGTAAGGATGGAGAACTATGTCACATGTTAGGATGGACTATGATGTCCCATTTCGTTTGATATTTACATTATAAAATATTACTCGATTCTGATCCCACCAAGACCAAAAATTAAGATAGATTGTAAAATTTTAACGACGTAAAGCCATATAACACGATTGACCAAATGAAACTAAATTTTGATTTAAATAGTGAAAATATGACATGGTATATATATGTCATTTAGACGAAATTCAAAATTTTGACGGATTTTACACTAAATTACGTTGGTTTCATGGTTTGTGTGTGTGTGTACTGTGTGTGTGAGTTTTTTGTATCTTTCATGTAAGCTCATCGTAGGAGTCGAACTCTGGTCTCTAGTAACGAAGTTCGAATCCCGACCACAAGAAAGAATTGATGGACATTTTTATTTTTTAAGAACTCATAGCCTATGATTCATAGCCATTGTTATTTTCATAGACTGAATGACTGATCATAGTCACGTATATTAATTAAATTTACCTTTCTTTCTAATTAGTTATTATTTATTAACATTCCCACATCCAAGCATGATAGAAAATATGAAAGCTTAATGTATATAATGTCCTCATTTTTTTACAAATAAAATACATGTCTTACAAGTTACATTACCGCCATGCAAGAAGACGTAAGCAGAACAATACAAATAGTAACATTAAAAAGGAAAAAAACAATAATATAAAATATGTGGCTCAAAAGATGCGATGTGGACTAAAACGGCACCTCAGCCAAAATTTAATAATCATGGAACTATATTATAAATATACCTCTTTGTTATACTTTTCGTTTGAATCGTAGCCAATACGTATAGAATTATATAAAACAAAATTTAGTTACGCAACCGGATAGAAAGCATACTGTGCTACACCACACATGCCTTGAGGCCAAGCCACGTCTCTTCGGATCCTAATGTAACCTTTTTCTCCCCAAGTTTCACCCCAAGAGTTCTTAGCCAGCCAGTACTTGGTTCCGTCATCGCTTGTTCCATAGCCAACAAACGTAACAGCGTGATTCGAGCTTGTACCACAAGGCCCGTCGTATACTCCTCCTGAGTAATGCATGAACCCATCACCATCCGCGTCCATCGACACAGAGACTGGTTGCCTCGATACGGCCTCGAGCAAGGCCTGCTCGTTGTTGCTCGATCGGAACAGACTGGAATCCGCTGATACGTGCTGCGGGTCTTGCGTTGGACCGGCAACTCCCATCTGATCCTTGATAAGAGTAGTCGTTCTCGGAAGATATGCCTTGGTTTTGGATTATATAGTTGAAAGCGTCCGACATTATCCCACCGTCGCAGCCTCGGTCGTACTCTCTGTCGCAATCTAGAAGCTGTTGTTCGGACAAAGATACAAGGTTCCCGCCGGCGATTTTAGTCACTCCTTCCACTGCTGCTACAGCCGAAAACGCCCAACAACATCCTGTACATATGATAGACAGTTGATAAGTGGGATGCTTTCATAAATTAAACTGAGGCAAAATATATAGTGAGCAAATCATCAATAAATTAGCCCTAGTTACTATAATCCGTAACTAACTTGGGAATCAAGTTTTCGCATTTCCATTGCTTTTGTTTCTAGATATTATATGTCATCAACTTTGTATGTTTATTTTAATAGAAACAACAAAACAAACATTTTAACTCTATATTTGAAAATTCTGAAAATTAAAATGTAAATTAATTAACTTGATAAGTATATAAGATGAAAGAAGAATAAGCTTGAAATTTCCAAACGATGTTGGATAAAATATAAAGTTTTAAAAATGTCAACAGAAAATATCTGATTACGTAAATTTAAATGAAAATATTTCGTTTTAAACAATCTGACGTAATCGAATAATTAAGAGTACGTAGGAACGTTGGTAGTGTAGAATTTTGGAAAAAAGCATTACCGCATTGGCCTTGGTATTTGACAGGAGTGACAGCTCCATCAGCTCTCCAGTCCTTGCTCTCGCTTACCACGTCACTGACGTTCCAAGACCTAGACGACATCGTTTTCTCGACCACCTTGGATGCGGAAACTTCAGTTAGTCCCTTTAGTCCAGTATGCATGGCTAGGAACTCTTCGTTGGTCCAATCCGCGAATTCATTGACACCAAGCTTGTAGCTTTTGTTACCTTTTTGGTTGAAGTTCTCAATGAACTTCACGTTCTTCTTAAACACATCGCGTCTCATCTGTTTCTCGAGCTCATCACGGTATACACGAGCAAACCGAGCCATCCATTGCTCATGTTTATCAACCAACGACATAGCTTGAAAGGTGACAGTACGAGACGTAGCTTGAGAGATTATGAAACTCGTGAAAAGCATGGTCAAAACCGTGAACAAGACCATGATCAGTGATGCCATTTTGGTTTTGGGAAATAGAGGAAACTAAAGAACTATGTTTTTTTTTTAAAATCGGGCTTATGGTTAATGGTGTTGTAGTGTGATGATGAAGTGAGGATGGAAGGAAAAGTATTTATAGAATTAGGATTGAACAATGAGATCCAATCGTATAAAAGCAAACGCAAGTTGACTTGAATCCATTTGGGGGGTGTGACTGTTAATACTTTGCATTACTTGCGCCGTGATCTTGGAAGAAAAAAACTTCCCTATTTTCATTACTTCCTTATTTATATTTTGGGTTCATTTCTGGCTTTGGTTTATTTGGTTCTATAAATCAAAATCGGAAACCTCTTGCTCTAGTGGCTAAACAAGAACTTTTTTTTTTTTTTTTAATTAAAAACAAGAACTTATTGACACCACAACACGTTTTGGGTGAAATAATCGTCATTTGTTTGGTTGGTTACGTAATTATCTATAGTTCTATCTTGTGAAATTTCCAATATATATATATATATATATATATACCATATGTCGATGACAAAAAAAAAATATATACCATATGTTTTTCCAGTTTTTAGTATACGGATATATTCTTTCACCCACTTGGAGTTCTGCCTTTTGCTTGTGCCCTGAGCAAATTCCACAATATAATGGATATTGTTTTCAATTAAATAAAGAAAAGAAAACTATAGTATTATAAAATTGGATTATTGAATGACATGTATGTAATAAGTATCTTTTTTTTGTTGGTAATCTGTATGTAATAAGTATCTATATAATAGATAAGATACTTTCCATTATAATATTTCTTAATTTTTTACTACAAAAACTTTAGATTTGTTCCATATCTCTTCCGAACCGAAGAGCTGAAGTATTTTACAAACAGTTCTTAATTCCTACTATTGGTAACACGAATTAGTGATCTCTTGGTTCAATTTTACTTCGTTTTAATCATTCCATGTCGAAAATACGTACAATACTTTATATGAAATTTCTTTTTGAAAATATTGCATCGTAACACCGTTTTTAAGTTTGATATAACATGCTGACACCGTTTACAGTTCACACACCCTTTCCCCATGTTTTTTCTCTTTTCTACCCTTGATCTCTAACCAAGTCCTTCCAACGAAAATCATGGTTCCGTTTACATTCTCTCATTTTTATTTAACTTTTTATTTAAAATTTATTTTTTTGCCCAAAACAGTAAAACAATTATCTCTAGTTTTTTTTTTTTAAACTAACAATTATCTCTAGTTTATCTGAAAGTAATAACTCTAATTTGGCCATTTCCCCTCTCCCTCGAGCGCATCTTCCCCAGAAGGCCAGAACTACACTCTAACTTTTTATGAAGCAAGGAATCGAAATTTGGTTTGGTTGCTCGTAGAGTGAAGACGATTGGTTCCAGTAAAGAAAAACAAAGACCTCTCACCAAAGAAGGTTTAACTTTACATCTTTGTTTTATTTTTGATTTTAGCTAGTTTTGATTTCACATGTTTAGTTTCGCTAAATCCCAAAAAAAAATCTTGACTTTAGATTGACCATATGCATATTCTTTCTGGGGTTTATTGAGATAGATTTTGGGTAATCATTGTTTTATTTATCTGTGTGTTCTTGATCGTTTTATATGTTAAGATGATGATTCCAATTTGTTTGAATTTGGAAAGTTGAGATCAAATATTGATTTAATTAAAGCTCAAAATTTGATTTAAATAAAGCTCAAATTCGTTGTTTTGTGATTTTGTTTTGAACCAGGATGCAAAATTGTATGATGAAATATGTTTATGTAAACTTTAATGGGAATCCACGATTGAAGGAAAAAACAAGAAACTGGAAAGCTTGTCTTTTGATTCTTGGATAATGAATGTCGTGAGAGGCTAGCTTACTATAGTATTGCTGGGAATCTAATCACTTACCTCACCACTAAGCTACACCAAGGAAACGTTGCCGCTGCTACAAACGTCACCACATGGCAAGGGACATGTTATCTCACTCTTCTCGTAATGACTGAAAACACATAATGAATGAAAACACATCCAGAAATACGACATCCATATGGACAACGTTTGGTGGATAACAAGATGTTTGACAATAGAGTTTTATCACACGTTTGCTTTTACTTTTGTTTAAGAGTAGTTCTTGTTTGTTAACATATTGGTTCATTTGCATTGATGTGTTGGATCTGAAATTAAAATAAAAGCAAAAACAATTTCTTGTTAGTAGTTGTGACGAGATTCACAACCAAACCATTAAGATGATAATAAAGGAGTTAAGATTGTTCATAAACACAAGTACGTGTGGAACAGGTGATCTCCGTGTTGTAGTTAGCTTTGCCTCTCTCTCCACACTCCCAACCGATGCACACTCGCCTCCGTCGTTTGACATGTGGTGCACACTTGCAACTAGCATGCCTCATCTTGTCAAATTACTCCTCATATCTGTTCGTTCTTGTATCGCTCGCAACTGCTCACTCTTTCTTGGCAAGTCCTGCATCACGAATCGTCCCCAATTTCACTGTTTTTGGATTCGATTTTTTGGTATACGGTATCTGGTGCTTGTGTGGATATTATTTTCTGGATGTGTTCTTGTGGACACT